GTTAAGATATAATAATTTATAATTTTGTTAAAAATAGTATGTGTTAAAATTTATAAATTATGTTATTTTTTATATGATACATATTAATTATTATATAACATCTAAAATTATTAATGCAAACTGTTTTGATTATAAGTTATATTATAACAAACATGTTTTTGTTAAGTAATTGGATTGGTTTTTAATTCGTATTTGATTTATTATTAATTAATTCCAAAACGTAATTTATAAAATTAATTTATAGCGTGTAAAAATTATAACTATATATCATCAGTCTTTATTTTGTAACCATATAATAAATTATGTAAAAGAAAACTCAAACATATTGTTAAGCTTTTAAACCAAAAAACAATAACTTTTTTTAACATACTTCGAACATAAACTAATAAAAAAATAGGGTTCTCAATCGTCCCGATCTGCTATTTATAGTATGGATATAGGAATGTACTTTCTAATTTAATGGATGGATTAAATTTGAATTCAATGATAAATCGTTACATATATGAATAACGATTCTAACTGAAAAAGACTATTAATTGTCAAGCTCTATTGACTATTAATATACTTTATGATATATATTAGACTAATATTTTTTCTCTGATACTTTATAATTATACATTTATTTATATCGCTTTAAGTAATTTATTTTTCTATAAGTTCCTATAAGTTACATTTGGTAATACAGTTTTTTTTATACTAGTTAATTCTTGCCAAAAACTTTGAATTTATTATAGCACTCTATTAATTATTATAATACTTTATGTTCATATCACTAAAAATTGTATGATTAGCTTTTTAAAAAAAATTTACGGTAACAATTAAATAGATAAGTATTAATTATATCTATAATGATTTTTTTTTACCTAAAAATGTTGAAATTTTCAATATCTATTAAATTTTGCATGAGAGTATGTATTTAGTTTTGTAAAACCTAAGTATGGAAAAAAAATTGACTATACATTTTTTCATTAATTTTTATTCTTTTGAGTTATCCTTTTTTTACTTACCTACATAACGGTTAATATCAAACTTGATTTAAATTCACGTTAAGCATAATCTTAATTTGATTAGCATTTTTTAATTTAATTTCTTTGGTATAATGTTATGTAGATAGACAACGTATTCTCTGTATTATAATATGGGGTTACCAAAATATTATAATTGAATTTTTTTTTGGTGGTAAATGAAAAGATTAATTTTAGAGAAAAGAAAACATTTAATATGAATATTTAAAAGCGTCTGTACAAATAAAACTCGTTTCATATAAGTATTGAGATCTTATGTTAATCGTTTTTTTTTTAATACGTAGACCGTAGTTACTTTTTTACCTTATTAAAATACTTAAGCACGTCTTTATAATAATCGATAATAAATACTAAGTAGACAATTATGAATTTATCTATTTCTTTTGAATATTTTGACATTGGGGCACCGTTGGGGTGACAAGCTTCGAGTAAGCTAGACAGGCCAGTGGTCAGTTGATAATATTTTCACCAAAATATTGTATAATTGACCATTTCTATAACAGCTTATATATACCAAAAAATTTAAAATGTTTGATTCATTTTAAGTAATGTACTTATTTAAAAATTGAAAAACGCAATTTAAAAATATTTATAAATTAGAATAGGTTTGTCACAGATATTAAAATGGAAGTTTATTTTGACTATGTAATTATGTTATTTTTTAATTCTATATTTTAATCGTAAATGTATTTGATTTGTGTATAGGTATGTATATTTTTGTTGTTATGTTTTAAAATATTTGGTACTTATTTGTTATTGCCCCGCCAATACTCCGTAAAAAATTTATCACCCCGTCATAAAAAAAAAAAAAACAAAAAAAACAATACAATAAATACGAAAATATTTCAATATTCAATATTGTTAAAAATTGTATTTAAGTATAAAATTCAAATTTAAAAATGTATTATAATTATAAATTAAAAATTAAGTGTGTTAAATTACAAAAGAGGCCAGAACTCAGAAATGTCATTTAAAATATCTTGAAATACATCTTGTTCCCCGAGACGTGCATGTTCTCCACATAAATTCAGCCAAATAGGACTCCAAACAATTTCTATCAGTTCCACGGTGCTTTTTATTATCCCACTTTACAGAACCCCATAACCTCTCGATATTTTGGGTGTGTGCTCCTGTGTACGTATTAACAAAATTATAAGTGTGGTTAACGGTATTATGTTTGAATCTCGCTTGCTGCAAATTATTTTAGGCTTTCCAACAATCGACATAATTATTGAACCTGTTTTTATATACTTTTGTATTATAGGTAACAATATTTTTTCCGATCGATCAGGTACACTAATAAAATTATAAAACACTCGTTGGTTTCCCGACATATTCCACCGAAAATCCATTGGTATGGCAGAATACGTCCAGCATTATTTTTTCTACGCACAAATAAACTTTCATCTATTTCGACAAAAAGACCGGGGCCACCAATTCTTATTAATTATTTTCTAATGTAGTTATTTCCAAAATATTTCCTAAAATAGATTATCCATCACGAGTAAAACACAATAATTGTATACAGCAGAGCGATAACAAACAAGAGTGGCGGGGCGATAACAAACAAGTACCAAATATTTATAAATAAGTAATCGATATGTGATTTTTGTGTACACACTCAAACATTTTTTTACTATTATATATTTACATAGTTTTTTAACCGTAATATTTAGCGGAAATGTATTATCAAAAACAAGTAGGTATATTAAGTACGAGTAAATTTTAAAAGTAAAAATATCCTAGCGGTCAACGTCAGCTATAGGGGGATTTTCAAAAGGCACTAGATTATAACCTATGTGGCTATGTCCTTACCCATTTTTTAATACTTTTTAAATTTTTATTTTCTAAATTTATAATTGCTTTGAATAAAATTGTCGAACAATATTAATTTTAATCAATGATAATTATTGATATTATTGTTTGTTTCATATTGAAATTAATAAAAAGTATCAATTTTCTAATTGGTACTTGGGAGTCCGGATACAAATATTACAAATACCTTAAACAAATTCTATAAATAAGTTAACTGTCAACCGGTGAAACCGAAAAGCGCAAATCGTTGATTTTTTTTTTTCGTTAGACCAAAAGTGAAAATTCACTTTGTAATTTTGTATTTTAGTAGCGGGATAAAAGCGCAAAAATAAATATTGTTACACTATAAGTTTCATTTTAAAATTATTAATTATTAAATTAAATTATTCATTTTAATTAAATGTATAGTATTTTTATAATTTAAAAATCAAAAATGCATCAACAGTAATTGAGTTCAGTTGAAGTTTAGTATTATTGTATTATTTGTATTGTATTTTATCTTAACAAATTACGATAAAGTTTTGACCCATTAAAAAATCTTCTTATATTTAACTTATCCTAATACATTCCATCAACATTTTTACTTACTATTTAAATAAGAACACTGAACAGATAACATTTCACTCTCCTATGTTTTTATATTTTATATTAAAATAATTTCCCAGGTACCACTAATGGCTTTTTATTCCTATTTTCATAGTATTTTTGTTTTGTCACCACATACACTCATTGTGCTAAATATTACAGATTGTGCTTATCTTAAAAATAAAAAAAAAAATTAAAAATTAAATAAACAGGAACGTATATCAACTAATATCAATGTAATATAATATTATGTTTCAAGAGTAACCATAAGATTATATTAATATTCATAGTCTTATAGAATTTACATTAGTTTATATTAATTTATGGTAATATTGATAATATTGATCTGATTAACACCAGAAATAATTTTCTTTTATAATTGTACAAAAGTAATTCAACATAAATATTTCATAAAAATTAAAAATTGTTTAAATAATATTTAATTTAGAAAATGACGAGTTTACCCTTTCAATATTTTTTTCTGGAGGGCAACTGCCCTCTCGTGACCCCCACCTCCCAAATACCACCTATGACAATATATACAGCATGAATTTGTATATTTAATTTATAAAGTACACTTTATTTTTGTAAAATTTATTCGGGCTTATGTAATATTTATTTTTGCGACTTTGAGTTGCGTTTGGGTCATATTTTGCTCTTATTGGCTATAGTCTATAGCACAGTCAACCTTTAAAGGAATTAAATAATAAAAATAAGTGAAGTGTACTAATAGATCATAATAATATTTTAATGTATTCCGTGTAATCGATAGGTTTCGACTGGAATTCGTGGTATTTTTTCAAAAATAATTATATCGAACGACTACATCAACTACCTATCGCGTTGGATTAAACATTTGTGGGTCTTTGGGCAGTTAAATTTCAATACCTCCTAGGGCCTAAATAGACGATATTAAATCGGGTGTTTTCGTATGGGGAAGTAGGTGATGTGCTTTTTCACATTACCATCTAACGTCTGTTATCGTTTATCATATTATAATAATATTATATTAGATTATTATCGGGATTAAAATACCTAAGATAATTTTTATTTTAGGTAATTCTATACTGGACACTTGGACCAGTGTCGATGTTCCAATTATTCCTTCATAACAGGTAGGTCGCAGCGACACCGTTCGCTAAACTCGGTAACACGTGTTGCGTAACGGCCGCTGTAAAAATCTTGATCATCTTTGGCCAAAATGTTGAATTAAGCCGAACTGCCGAACGAGAGTACGAGACTGCCGAACATTGAACAAGACCGCCGAACAGTGGTGGAAGCGGTGCGGCAGAGCTAAAGTGTATAGTTATATCATAGTACGTAAGTACTTCGTGCACGCATGAAATAGGTACTCGCGTACAACACGCATCACGCACAGTACGTTTCCGAAGACCATTGCCACGGCAGTTGGCAGTGTTGGCATAAACGATGAAAATATAACAGTATATAGTTATAGCCGCGTGCCCGTGGTACGATAGCGTACGGAGTGGGCGCATGCGCAAACGCCGCCGCGGTCGAAAACCGCCTTCCGAGTCCAACGTTCGGCCGGCCGCCGGACTCATCTCCAATCTGAAATGCGCGACGTCTCTCGAGTGTGGACTGTGGAGTCGTCAGTCGTTCACACTCGTCGAAGACCGTTCAGTCTGTGTTCGCGCTTCGTCCCGTTCACGTTGCCGGCTACCGTTCGTCCCCGCCGCCGCCGCGTACGTTATCGCGCGCCGATTTTAATCGTCGAATACCCGGAATTCCCGGACTCCGGCCGCGCGCAAACCACGGACAGGCCGATAACGTATTTGTATATTATTGTATTGCGACACGACACACCTGTGTCAAGGTACACCTATTAATATACTTTAACAATAATTATTATTGTACCGTTCGACGTCGTGTTTTATTATAGAAATAAAAACGTTTCGACGATTGTGCTGGTCGCGGTTTTCGTATTTTTTTACTCGTTCGATATCGCGTGTGTTGGTTATATTTTTGATCGCCAGATAAGAAGAATATTTAACATTCACTTGACGCCTTCACTGTTCGACACCGCCCCCACCCCTAAGCACGCCGGGTAATACGCGATTCCGCGGACAGGCGGTAGGCATCGCTGTATTGTAAATCTGATCCGCGAAGCCGGTGCCTAACGTTTGTTTGAATCGCACGAGTCGCCGAGCTCCTCTTTAGTCGTCGTCGTTCGAAATTCGTCACCCGCGACTTTCATTTATGGAGTTGGCCGATTTGGACGGTTTTTGTGGTTCGCCTTTTTGGGTAAGCGCCACACACATTATCTACTACTGTATATTCCTACTCACCTATGATATCTTTATTAGTATTCGCTATGTACCTTCCTCACCGGTAACGGCGAGTCTAATTTCGGTTTTTATTTTTAGGATTGGAACTTGTCCTGGAACACCACCGATCCCGATGTAACGCTTTGTTTCGAGAAGACCGCTTTGGTCTGGTCGCCATGCTTGTTCCTGTGGCTGTTTTCTCCGCTAGAAGTTTACTACCTGGTGCACAGTAAGTTCAGGGACATACCGTGGAATTGGCTCAACTTGACCAAACTGGTTAGTTTTTTTTATTATTTTTTCTATTGTTAGTTTATTTTGTCATCATTGTTGAGTATAAATGTGATCTAATGTACATCATAACGTGATCTTGGTGCGTTATAGCACAATCTGAATTATGACATAACATATTATTGAGTAATGCAAGCTATAGCTATTATAATATGACATAATATTATGTACATACTCACATATTGTATTCACAATTTCTGAAAGAGAGGGGGGTATTTTATTATATTTTATAGATAAGAGTTTATGGATCATGATAATTCATTTATTCATGCAATCATAGATTATTTAGGTATATGTTTCAAGTAGACTGTTTTCATAAGTAGGTAATCTGTTCTTAATGATATTCATTAGAAATATGGAAAAATTGACATTTATTATGTTATCCAAGAATTGATTTTTATGTTCTGTCTGAAAAACACAATAAGTGATAGTTACATTTTTTCTACTTTTATAGATCCATACATGTGTTTTAAATAGATTAGGGTACCTAATAAAAATCATTAAGTATAAGTATCAAAGTAAATATTTAAAGTAAAAAAAAAAAAAAAACATTAGTCATTAGTTACTTCCTATCAATCTTCGTTTAGGTACTATTTATTTTTGAGATGAATATTTTTTAGATATTTATTTCTTATAGATTCTTACTGGGAGTTGCACTGCAACATCACATTTTTATATAATTATTGATTTATTTATTAAATTATTATCACATGAATAAATTAAATAAATTTGATAGGTAGGTGATGAACGATAATATTTAATTAAAATTATTATTTTCCATTTTAACTGAACTATGAATTTTAATATCTTCGTTTTAATTCATAATAATACTTAAATTGTTTTATTAATTATAGCAATATATTATTTTTTTAATTGATTATAATTAATAAGCATTAGGTTAATATTGGTTTTAAAACATTTAATCTGTTGTTTAATATTTTTACTTATTTAAATTTTAATCATTTTTCTATGTTAGTAATTAATGTAATATATATTTATATTTATACTCGTCCACAAAATAATGTAAATAAATAATTATTTTTTGTGTTTTGAATGTTTTGATCCTATTGTTAATAAGAGTATTTTAAAATATTATCGGTATTGTACATTCTTAATTTGGTTTGATAAAATTGTATGGTATTGTGACAAAAGATAGTTCAATTAGACGTATCAATTGATCTTCAAATTGATTTATTTGACATCATATTAATTTAGAAATATAATATAGATGTATCACTTAATTATTTGTATAATACTTAAGTAATTAAAGAAACTGTTTAATATTGGATATATGTTACTATTTTAGTGAATATTTAGAACCAAGCCACTTTAATCATGAATTAAATAAATTATTTATTTTAAATTTCTTTTATATTTTATTTTTTAAAGTTGGCTATAAAGTGTATTTTTTTATCATGAATCATTTATTATTTAAAAAACTATTAATATTTTTTTAAAGTATTTAAAGTTTAGGTGTATGGAGTCAGGAATACCCTCCCCCTCAAAAAAAAATATTGGCCTACTACTTTGCTTGTTTAATGTTTGAATACTAATAATACATAAACTATTTATACAATTTTGATTTCTATGTATTAAAATATTCAAAAAAATATTCTCATTTCAGCATATGAAATTAAAAATGTATGTTGTGATTAAAATAAAATAAAAACTTAAACAATTAATATAATAAAAATTATAATTTATTTTTTATTTCAACTAAATTATATGAAAGAAATATTTTCAAAAATATTAATAGTTCTTAAAAATTGAATGATTTATGATAAAAGAATTACTTGATATGTGAAGGTAGGTTTAATGTGTTTAATTTTTGTCCTAAGTATGATTATTAGCATTTAAATCTGATATCTCTGTCAATTAAATGTTTAATACCTAGCATTAAAATTAAATTTTTAATTTTTGATAGGTAATATCAATTTATGTATATAAACAGTCTATATAGGTAATAATCTACTCTGTATATATTTATATTATTAAATTATTTAAATAAGTAGGTATTATATTACCATGGATATTATACATAAGTAGGTTTTATATTTATTATCATAGGTATTATATATAAGTAGGTATATAATACCTCAATTCAAACTTCTGAATGTTTATCAGTAATAACAAAGAAAAATGATATAAAAATATAATATTTTTTTAAAATTTAACTCAAGCAATTCAATTCTAATAGTTATAAATAGGTGTATACAATTTTAAATTGTAGTTGGTTATAAAATATGTATTTAATAATAAACATATTTTTATTAATTGTTTTTAAAATTATTCAACATAATGTATTAATGCTATAAATGTTTCATCTTTTTTTCTAATATTTTATTACATTTAATATACTTACTCATGTATAGGCATAGTTCAGTTAGGTAAATAGGTCAATGACTCTTAATGTCCTTGATTATTTTCTACAACTGTAATCACTACAGTAATATTTAGTTAATCTAAGTCTATTATTTTTATTTGTTACTCCATATAAACTAATTTCTAGGTTTACTTATAAAAATATATTTTTATGTAGGTACTTATATAATAAAAATATTTTTTTTTTTGTGAATTTATTTTATTGCCTTAGTTTGTTCATTAATATGTTATGGGTGATGCAGAAAAGTCAAATATTCAGTACATTGCCCAGAAATGTTGGTTAGGTTATTTAATTATTTTCTTATTACCTGGGCAATTTTTTAAATGACTGATTTGTTGCAGAAAATGTGAATATTTAAAGGTCTGCACACATTGCAGTAGTGACAGTAGAATTAAAATGTAGCCAAATATAATTTACCTCTGAGGTGAAAGATAATAGACTTTAACTGTTATCCACCATCGCTGCAGTATGTGCGATTCTTTTTAAAATATATTTATATACTATATTCATGCAAATAAGTGATATTGTTGAGTTGTGCAACAATTTAAAAGATATTTCAACTTCAATTTTTATTAGTTTTCTATTATAGTTAATTAGTTATTTTAAATAATGCATATAGTATTGAGCGATTCAATTTTTGATTCTTGGTCAACCAATATACATGTATTAATATATGTTAAAATAGTTAAATTAATTTATTTAAGAGTAAATATGGTTTTGTAGTAGGTAAAGAGACTCAATTAAATACTATTACCTTTATGTACATTTTTATCCATTTTATTAATGATTATTTTTATACCTTAAATCTAATCTAAGGCTTTTGAAACAGAGTAGGCAATTTCCCTTTTCCTTATTTTAGTTGATATTAATTAGTTCATCATTTGTAAAACAGATTTATATATTTGATTTTTCACAGGTTGTAAATTGCTAGTTTAGGTTATAGTAAAAATCATACCAGTAGTACCTATGTTTTTATTGAATTAAGTTCTAGGCTATAAATTATATTTATAATAATTAATTAAATTGTTAATGAACTGATTGTATTATTAAAATTTGAAACTTAATTACTTTGAATAAGGTATTTTATTTAATATAGAAAATTAAAAGGTCTCATGTTGTATATATTATTTATATGAGTACATTATTTTATGAAAATAATAATTTTGGTTTTTTGTTGTTTTATAGGGTGGTACAGCTATATTATGTGTTCTTTCAATAATCGATATTGCATATGCAATAATTCAGTATTCATCAGGGATGCCTATTTATTCTGTGGATTTCTACACACCACTTGTAAAACTTATTACTTTTGTAAGTATTTCACACCAAAAATATATTTTAGATCTATATAAATTATTTACTTAAATGTTTCTTGAAATTATCTGATATCAACACAAAATTGATATAGATTATATCATGTATGTTAAACATTTAAATTTAAATTTATGACAGATGGTTATTTAACAGTTATTTTAAGATTAAAATATGATTTGATCTAGTATAAGTAAATTCAATTGTATAATATTTACTGTTTAATATTTTTATTTATACTTATATGTGTTGACATGTTAATTAATATTTTTTATTTCATTTATAGGGATTTGTGATGGTTTTAATTAGCGCCAATCGTGCAAGAGGATTAAGATCTTCTGGGTTAATATTTTTGTTTTGGTCATCTTTGGCATTTTGTGGGATAGTTCAATATCGAACAGAGATTCGATTAGCATTTTCTGATGTAAGATAATTTATTATAATTTATAACCAATTTATTTGTGAATCAAAATAAAAAATTTATGTATTCAAATATATTTTATTTACATTTAGGTACCATCACAAAAATATCAATTAATAAGTTACATGGTGTATTATCCTATTGTATTAATTCAGTTTGTTTTAAACTTCTTTGCCGATGCTGATCCACGACTATCAAATTATCCCCCTGTTGAGGTAAATTTTACAAAATATTTTTATTTTTGTTTAATTTTTTATTTTGATACTCTTAAATAATTTATAGAAACCATGTCCTGAGATTAAAGCATCATTTCCTTCGCGGATATTATTTTCATGGTTTGATCCATTAGCATGGACCGGTTATAATCGTCCTTTAGAAACTAAAGATTTGTGGAATATGAATTATGACGATAGTTCACGAGAAATAGTTCCTATATTTGATAAACATTGGGAACGTTCATTAATTAAATCAAAGTGAGTAAATAATGTTATTAAATGTTCAAAATTATGTTAAGTCATATTATAATATTATCTTTATCATTTCTGTTGGCATAATAATCATAAGATTTTACTTTTAAAATCATAATTTTGATGTATTTATATAACTTAATTTTATGACAATTTATATTCATCAATATTTTTATGCATTTAATCAAAATCAGTATTTTTAAACTTCTTATTTGATACATTATTATTTTTTATGCATTATTCCAATATTTCTTTTTGGGACATCGAGACTTAAGTCACTAAACTGGTAGTGTCCTAAAAAATATGGGAAATATGGCAACTATATATTAAAAGTACTATTCTGTATTATCTTTAAAAATCTTACTAATAAAATTCATGTATATAAAGAAAGTTAATTGATGAACAATGTACCTAATAGAATTGCTTAAAAATAGTAATACTATTATTTATGATTATACTATAAGTTATAATTATTTTGTTTCTAAAATTAATAATAAATTATACTTTACAGATTACTAGATAATGCAAAAGCATCTTATATTAAACATAAATCAGATGGAAGTATTGAAGTATCACCTACTGAATATTCAAGAATTACTCGTGGTACTAAAAATCAAAATGAAGCATCTATTCTTCCTGCTTTGTGTAAATCATTTGGCCGTACATTTTTGTTTGGATCATTTCTAAAAGTAATTGAAGATTGTTTAGTTTTTGTGAGCCCTCAAGTTCTTAAGTAAGTCATCACTTAAATAATATATAGCTAATAATTTCAAGTACTTATACATTTTTTTTCAGATATTTGATAGCATTTGTAGGAAATACAGATGAACCACTATGGAGAGGATATTTTTATGTTTTTCTTATGATGTTAACAGCAACATTACAAACATTAATATTGTCTCAATATTTTCATCGTATGTATCTTGTTGGTATGCGTATAAGAACTGCACTTACTTCTGCTATTTATCGAAAGGTAAATATAGTAATTTACAGTTAAGATAAATATTAAATTAAAAATATTTATTTTTAAGGCTTTGAGAATTTCAAATACTGCTAGAAAAACTTTTACTGTTGGTGAAATAGTTAATTTGATGGCTGTCGACGCTCATAGATTTATTGATCTGACAACTTATTTGAATATGATTTGGTCTGCTCCATTTCAAATTGGTCTTGCAATATACTTTTTGTGGCAATCACTAGGGCCCAGTGTACTTGCTGGTTTATTTGTAATGATAGTTTTGATACCAATAAATGGTTTTGTGGCTGCAAAAGCAAGAAATCTTCAGATCAAACAAATGAAAAATAAAGATCAAAGAGTTAAATTAATGAATGAAATTTTGTCTGGGATAAAAGTAAAGTTATTTTAAATATAATTTTAAATATAATTAATTTATACATATTAATTTTTTAGGTTTTAAAATTATATGCTTGGGAACCAAGTTTTGAACAAAAAGTGTTGGATATTCGAGGAAAAGAAATTAAAGTGCTTCGTACTGCTGCTTATTTGAATGCAGCTACTTCATTTATTTGGGCTTGTGCTCCATTTCTGGTATAAAAACGTTTTATAAACCATTTTAATTTAATTTTTAAAGAATTGTAGTATTTTATACTTTATGTATATATCATGATTTTTTGTTATTTATTTGACTTGTAATTAAATAAATTGTACATAATTATATTTAGGTATCATTAGTTACATTTGCAGTTTATGTATTATCTGACGATAGCCATGTACTGGATGCTCAAACAGCTTTTGTTTCTCTATCTTTATTCAACATTTTACGTTTTCCATTATCTATGTTACCAATGTTTGTGTCAAATGTAGTTCAAGTAAGTTTTTTGTTTAGCATAATATTAAGTATATAAATAAGTATAGTTTCCTTAAAGTCTTTTTAACATTTTATAGACGAGTGTATCTGTAAAGAGAATAAATAAGTTTATGAACTCGGAAGAGTTGGATCCAGATTCTGTTACTCATGATTCTGATGAAAGTATATAACATTTTTATTTATTTGTGATAATAATATTTTATTCATTTATTTTGATTTTTAGAGGATCCTCTTGTGATTGAAAATGGTACATTCACTTGGGGTGAACCAACTGACCCACCAACATTATCAAATTTAAATTTGCGAATTTCATCTGGACAGTTAGTTGCTGTAGTGGGTACTGTTGGTTCTGGTAAGAGTTCTTTAGTATCAGCTTTTCTTGGTGAAATGGAAAAAGTTTCTGGTAGAGTTAATACTAAAGTAAGTGCAAAACTATTAATTATTTAAATTAATGTAATTTGTTTAACTTTAATAATATATAAATTAATATTTAGGGATCTATAGCATATGTACCACAGCAAGCGTGGATTCAGAATACATCACTTAAGGATAATATATTGTTTGGTCAAACATTAAGTGATAGAAGTTATAATAAGATTATTGATGCATGTGCGTTAAGAGCTGACTTCCAAATGCTTCCAGCAGGAGATGCCACTGAAATTGGTGAAAAGGTATGTATCGCGTTTTAAAATTATAATTTGTATCAATATATTTATTATATATCAAATTGATCATTTTATAGGGGATAAATTTAAGTGGAGGCCAAAAACAAAGAGTAAGTTTAGCAAGAGCAGTTTACAAGGAGAGTGATATCTATTTTTTGGATGATCCATTAAGTGCTGTTGATTCACATGTCGGTAAACATATTTTTGAACATGTTATTGGACCTACAGGATTATTGCGAAAAAAAGTAATACTATTTTATTTGATATTTAAATAAAGTAATTAGACTTATAAAAAATTTAATTTAATTTTTATAGACACGAGTTTTGGTTACCCATAGTATTACTTATCTCAGAGAAGTCGATTTAATTGTGGTTATGAAAGATGGTCAAGTATCTGAGTCTGGTACATATAAAGAATTACTGGATAAAAAAGGAGATTTTGCTGATTTCTTAATATTACACATGCAAGAACAAAATGAACTTAAAGACGATGACATTGGTAATATACATGTTTTTTTTTTTTTTTTTTTTTTTTTTTTAGGGTTTATTGGGCCTTTAGGACCATCCCGTCTCACAACCAAGCTTCCAACCTTCTCCAATTGGAGCAGCCTCCTATACGCTCAACGTCCTTCTTTACAACATCTTCCCATCGCATTCTTGGCCTTCCCAGAGGTCTTTTACCTATAGGGTTTTGTTCCATCACTGCATGTAAAAGTGGATTTTGGCTCCTCCAAGCATGGCCAGCCCACCGTAGTCTTCTGCTTCTGATTACCTCCACTATGTCCGCATTACCATACAGTATTTCCAGCTCTATGTTCTTTCTTCGTCTCCACTCCCCAGTTATTTCGTCTTTGACCGGGCCATATATTTTCCGTAAAACTTTTCTTTCAAAGATCATGAGCTTATGCTCGTCCATTTTTCTGATTGGCCATGTTTCCGAGCCATATAATACAACCGGTCGTATTAAGGACGTATATAATCGTTCCTTCATTCCTCGCGATATTGTTCGTGAGCTTAGTATCTTTGTATACATGTAGCTTTATTAATAATAACGTTTTATTTAAAGTAATTATTAAAATACATTTATTTAGAAATTGATAAGTTATTAGAAGACGCACCTGCAGATTTAAAAGAAAAATATATTCGTCAAAGAAGTGAATCCAATTCAAATTCTTCAATGCAAAGGTAATGATACTATTCTTGAGAGTGTTTTAAACATTCATTTTATAAGGGGTTCATAGGAATTTTTTATGACATTTTGAGAAGCATGTAAATTTAAATTTGATTAAAAAGTAAATACTAATTAGTAATTAATAATATCTGACCAGTGGTACTATGTCTATACTATTGTTAATTTTTGCAAAATGACGAGAATATATACTTATACTTAACTTATATATATATTTTAAGTTAAGATTGATCCACTTTGTGCCCATAGACTGGTGCGAATTAATGTTTGACTAATGCTATGCGTTACAACATTGTTTAACAATTATTAGTCAGTAGTGTCAGTGTTTTAGCTATGTATACCGATAATCATAAGTTGAAGTGGGGGCTGTCAAATGGTGAGGATGCACCGACTATGAGTTTTGATGGCTAAGTGGATTAATTTTTAACTGAATAGAGTATAGGGAAGCAGTTTTGTTTAAAAACAATCCACTTAATTTGTGTTCATACCAAAGCAGTGCAAAAAGGGTTGTTGCCAGGTTATTACAGTGGGCATGCTGTATGTACATTGCATGTCATGTATAATTGAATTTTTTTTCACTGCATATTGGATGTGTGTGTTTGACTTAAAACTATTATCATAGTTAAGGAATCAAATTTGTATATGACAAAGACAATATTTGCTGTGTTCTGGTGTTTTTATTGTTTTGTGATATCATTTAACATGTTTGCATCCGTGTGAATTTCAGAGGTCACACCAACCCAGCCGCGTAAATTTTAATATCATATTATCGGCTATATCAGTGGTCTTCAACCTTTTTAGACTCACAACCCAATTTTTTAGGCCTGCATTTTTCATGATCCACATAAGCTTTATTGAAAAATAAAAAAAAGCTAAAATTATGCTTAATGCTTTGTATTAGTACTATGATAACTGAATAAATAAAAATAAAATTACATTTTAGTAGGTAGAATATTTATTAATATTTATTTATTTTTATCTATTAAATTAAAATTTTAAAAAGAAGACTTTTTGCGTTCCAATTTTAAAGCTTAGTGACCCAAAAATGAGTCGCAACCCACAGGTTGAAAACCATTAAGCTATACTATACTTATATTGTTAATACAAATTATAAACAAAAATGCCGGAAAATCGAAACCAGCTGTTTGTATTTGTTCTAATATATATACTGAATGGCCGTACTAAATATAATGATAGTTCATCACCAGCCAAACATTTTAAATAACATAAAAATTGTGCCATGACGATTATGGGTCATCATTGGCTGGGCACCCCCTACATTACCTGATGACTATGAATCTTCATTAGCGTTGAACGTGTTATTATAAAAATAGTTATTATATTACAATCTGAAATATTTCACATTTATGTTTTTAAACTTAAATAACTTTTTATATTAATGATATCAAATTAATAAAAACTTAATGACACAGAAAATATTATAAATTTGATTTCTCAATTATGATTGTAGCCCAAGTGATTATATTTTTACATGAAATGGTTTTTTAAAACTTGTAGAAGAATTGTATGTGCTATTCAAATATTAAATATGTTTAATTTTATTTGTTATTTAATATTTAATTTTAAATTTTAGGCAAAGGTCTATTGATTCTGAAAAAACCATTCCTCTACCTATTGTTGATCAACAGGCTAAATTGATTGAAGTTGAGAAAGCTGAAACAGGCAGTGTATGTTGTGTATATTTTAATATTTTTATAAATATTTTAATTTTTAGATGTTAGTTTAATTTTAAACTTTAATTTAAGGTCAAATGGGAAGTTTATGTACATTATTTGAAGTCCATTGGACCTTTTTTGTGCATATCTACAATTGTTTTGAGTATTATATTTCAAGGATTTTCTATTTCTTCAAATATTTGGCTTTCTATATGGTCTAATGATGATACTTCTCATGTTCACGGAGAAGAAAATATAAGCAAAAGGAATTTATATTTAACTGTTTATGGTCTTCTTGGACTTGGTCAAGGTAAGTTATAAAACTTGTAAAATATAAGCCTCTTAATTTTATTTAAAAATGTATGGTTTACTTAGTAAATCTAATGTACATGGATTGAAATCTATGTTAATACTATTACATTAATAAAATTACTTTTTGTTTCAAATGTATTAGAAAAATAATTAAGGAGTCATTGTTATGATAATAAATTTATTTTAATAACTTTAAGTGATATTAATTAGTCGATTTTAGTAGCTAAATAAAATTACTAGAGAATAAGTTAAGTTTTCAGAAAAGTTTATAATTATCTTGTAGTCCTAACAATTCTATAGAATTATTGTAATTTATGTGAAAACAATGTTAATAATAAATTTACAAGATTTGTTATTAACGTAATAATTCAACTCTGCCTATTTTTCTAAAAATTGATTAATAATTTTTAATGATTAAAAATATACTATACTATTCATAAACAAGATTTAAAAGAATAGGTCAAGCAATACGATCATTATCTGTAGTCAGAATTGGTACTAACCACATAGTTCCACTTAGTTACACTTTATTCCGGCTCACAAGAACACTTAACACATGTCTTGACCAAAACTTGTCTGAGTTTGTGTATCTCCTATTCATTAGCATATCAACAAATGTTCAGTAATGGTCAATAATAATCAACATTAAATAATGTAGGTCATAATTTAACTTATACCAGACTACTGTAGTAAAGAGTGCATTATGGTTATGTTCTGTATCGAGTGAATTGAACAGCGTGTTTACTTTTATTTTATTTTTATTATTTATATGGTGGTATTAAGATTTTTAAAGTGAATGCCTATGAATCCATCAATATTTTCATTGTATGTTCGTCATTCAGATGATAATACATCATTTTGTAAAGTATAAACACATTTACAACGCCGTATATAAGTCGCAGCACATACTATCTTTGTACATAGTCAGGGAAATGGTGTCTTGAATTGGTCACTGCTTGTCATCAGTCTACATGCGTAAAACAGTAATGTTCTTTTGTAGGATTGAGTTCAGTCAGATGTGTAAGATTATGATAATTTGATCAATTAAAATAATTGTAATATTGTATTTGTTCTTAAATGTAACATGCCATCAATGTGTTGTGTTGTGTACTCTAAATTGTGGTATAAATAAAATTCCTAAGTTTTTGTATTCATTAAAGTATTTGTTTTAAACTATGTTGAATCAATCAATCTTACTTTTTATTTTAGTCAAATTATTAACTACTAAAAAGTTACATTTAATACATTGTTTTTTTTATTTTTCTCTATAAACCATTATAGTTTTAACTATATGAATATTATATTCATAAATAAAGTAATAAAGTAAACATAAACTATAACCAACAAAGTAAATAATTTAAAATTCATTGCTGATACCATAAAAAATGACATGGTTAATTAGTAGTGCAAACTGTAATGGTTTGTACTACATTGACCATAAAAAGTTGTGATTGAGTAGTCATGTACTAATTATTTCATTACTAACTGCTAATTTGTTCTTTATAATTATATTTTATAAGATATTAATAACAAAAAATTATAAAATAAATTTGTTACATAATGTTCTACAAATTAGACTTTATAACCTCTCAGTATTTATAAAACTTAAAATTAAAACATAAACCAAAAAAAACTAACTAAAATATTAAGAAGTTTTTAATACCTGACATTTTCTGTCACTTTTTCCTGTTGTAAATATGTAAAAAAAAAAAAAAAAACTGCATCATATTTACATTGATTATTATGAATTTTGTTATAAAATAAAAATGTGTTTCTCTTAAAATGTTTTAATTTTATTATAATATTGAATTAATTAAGTATTAACATTTTAAATCAAGACGTGGTAATTAATTATTTAATGTATATTGTTTTCAATTAAAATGTTTAAATATTGGAACAAAATTACAATAATTTTTTTTTTTTGTTAAATTATAGTTATTTAACTATAGTTATCATATAATGGATAATAATTTTACTACAATGCAAGAATTTGTGTACATTTTTTCCTATTAAAAGGTCTGGGATAATAAACAAATCTTTTGTTTCATTTAGAAATATATAATCATTTATAAACGTATAATTTCCAATTAGTTTTTATTAGTTATATTTAAACTCAATATTGAATAACAGTTTTTTGAATTATTACATCACATTATGATTAATGTGTATCAAATATTTATAGACTTGGGTATTATTTTTATATTTTTTTGACTATTTAATGATGATTTGATTAAAAATTATTTCCATGTATAACAATAGTTTTTGTATTTATATGTTTTGTATGTATAAATGTTGGGTATATTTAAAATTATTGTATATTTGCTTAATTTAACTTACATAACTTTTGCATTGATGACACTTTGATTTTTCATGGTTGTAGCTGAATAAATATTTTTAAATTTTTCAATACACAATCTATGAATTATTAATTGTTAAATTTTAAAATAATTAATATATTCTAAATAAAACTTGGAAGACAATAGCTGTATATTATAAAAAATATGTTGAGTAAATTACTTGAATTTAATTTGAATAATAATTTATTAATACATACACATACACACTAACTGTTTGTTAGTTAATCTTACTAGAATTTAAAAAAAGTTAAATTGTATAGTTAAATGTTCATCATAATATGTCGTAGGTCATGGATTAAAATTTTATGTTATCCCTAAAAACAAATGGGTGGCAAATGGTCCGGTGACAGTTGACCTGAATTCATGTATTTTATTACTTTATTTTAGGTTTTTACAAGAATTAACTATTTTTTTGATAAATTTAATTAATTGTGGTTAAGTGGTTATAAATTATATTTAATACAAAATAGTTCAAAATATTAACTGATATTTTTATAGTAAGTAACTGTGTCATATTTTTTTGATGATTAAATATCAATAGATAATTGTTTATATTACTAAAATAAATTTCTATTAGTTATTAGATATAAATAGTCAACGTTTTTATAAATACATAAATACATTTTTTTTATTTATATTGTTAAATATTTATATATATTTAAATATATAATTACTTTTTAATTTTATTAATAACAAGGTAATATTAAGGAGTTATCAACCCTAAACAATTATGTTGCTTTATTTTGAACTAATCTGTCTACATTTTAGTTTATTTTAAATATTTTTGATTTGGTGTAGTTGTATCGACGGTGACATCAGCAATAGCTTTATCGTTAGGCACAGTAGTAGCTGCTGAAAAATTATACATATTGATCAATACACGGATTTTCAAGAATCCATTAAGCCTGTTTGATACAACACCTATTGGTCGTATCTTGAACAGAGTATCTAAGGACATTGATACTATTGATAATGTATTGCCATTCATATTAAGATCAACTGTCCAAACTGTATTTTCGGTAAATTCGAATTAAAATATGTTTTATGTTTATAGTTTATACTTTAGCTTGGTGTATCCAATATTATTCTAAATTTCATATATTATACATTATATTTATTGTATTTATTATAACCAGTGCTAAGTTTTTATTAAACTTAGTATTTAAAAATAAACAGATTAGGATTTATTTATTTATTTCCCTAAAATACTTTTACACATTTCTTTCTATAAATTTAAAATTGTTTAAATACTAATATATAAATTTTCAAATTAAAATTTTGCATTATAAGCCAATATATTGAAATACATTTTATACTTATGTTTCATGAAAATGTGTAAATTGACATTTACATATTAAAAACTTAGCTCTGGTTGAAAATACATTTTTAAATATTGTGTATGCGTGTGAATGTAGCTTAATAATTTTATTTTTATATTCCATAATTTAGCTTATAAAAGCTTTTAATTTTAGTCTTTTAGTTTAAACTTATCTAGTTTTTCATAAATATTTTTCATTTGTTACGCTATTATCATTTATTATAACTTAATCATAGCATAATTTGAGTTTTTTAAATTGATATTTTAGTTTTTTTGAATTATTTAACTAGTTATTATTGTTAGAATTTGTTATTGAAATAACATTTTAAAAGATAAATATTATAATTTAAATATAGAATTAATAAAATGCTTAAATTATGAATTTTGGTAGCTTAAATTTTTAATATTTTAACATTAATTTGATAAGTTATTCCCAAAATTTACTTGTCATAAAGCTTATTAATTATTTTTGCTATTTTTTATGAACTTTTTGTGTTAAGTGTATGTGCAGTACATCATTTTTTTTTTTTTAAATTGCATTTTCCCTAAGATAATTAATTTATTCTTATATAATATTACAAATTTCAAATTCTCTTTAAATATATATATATAAAAAAAAAAAAAAACATTAATAAAACATAAGTTAATTATTTCATAATTTTTATGTTAGAAATAAAATAATTAGTGCGTTCAAGGAAACAAAATCATCCATTAAAACAAAAAACTCAAATTGTGTTTATGTGTATGAGTATAATATTTAGGTATACTATTTAAATCATTAATTTCTTGTTTTTATAAAGTGCTTTATTTATTTTATGAATATAAATACTTAAACATTTCTGACAGCACTATTGGATTTTGATACTTAATGCTTTTTTGTATGATTGGCTTATGCTGTTTTATGTTTTACTATATTTAACAATCTGGAAATTTTTAAGTTAAGCCATATAAATTGCTGTGCTTATTAATATTTGCTTATTTGTATTAATTATTTTAGATTCTTAGTGAAGCAAAGAATGTATTGGTTTTATGTCTGTTTTGAAGTATACAATTTAGTTTGAGCTCAACAAATTTTTGACAGAGCAAATTTTTTTTTGTACCTAATTTAGAAAAGAATAATTTATATAACTTAACATTTTTTTTAAAATATGTATATTAACATTTTTGATACATGGTAAACTTTTCAAAATATATTGATTCATTTTAAGTTATACGTTTAAAATTTTTGATTCTTTTTTTATAAATATTGGTAAAAATATTTAATACAACATTTTGAAAAATTTTAAATACCAGACTTAACAAAAACAGTTGTAAATCTTCAATATTTTTTTAAAAACATTTGTATTTTAAACTTCTAAGTCATGAAAATATGCAAATTATTTCATTGTTATTTGTAAAATTACCAATTTTGTATCTAAGACTTGATGTATAAGTTTTCCTTACAAAAATTATAAAGAAGAGTCATACATTTTATTTATGAGCATGTCTAAAGCGTCATAAATTTTGATGATAATTTTTCTGATGTAATTTAGAGAATTATTAATTGTAAAAACTTTGAACATTCCACTGTTTACTTAAATTATTTTCTTCCATAATCAATTAAATTTTTAAAACATTAATACTATTTTCAAAGTATTTCTTTTTAAGATATAAGTATTTGAAATTTTGAAAATATATTGCAAGTTTTAACATAAATTGCTTTTTTTGTAATTTAAAAACATTATTATACATAAGTAGTCTCAATTGTATTTTATATACGTTTAAAGTTCACATATTGACATATTACAAAAATTTGTCAATTAGTTTGTAGTAAAAAATGTATAAAGTATTCAATTTTTATAGCTAAAAATTGAAAATTACTGGAACTCAAATATCTTAAAAGAATAGAACACATTTTTTAAATATTAATTAAAATTTGAATAAAATTATAAAGGAAAGAATAACAGTTTTAATTATTTTGTTGTCATTTAAAAATATTAGTGGGATTTGAAGTTTGTATACATATTATTGTTATATTTTACTTTCATAGTGGCTTTTCTAAAATATTTCAATTGATTTTAAGCTTATTACATATTTTTATTGTTCTAAATCTTCTATTTCATTACTAGTAAAACAAATTACTGTAATAGAAATAGAAATATAATTTCTAAAATTTACTTGGTAATAAAGCAATCAAGGTCTCCACTCACAATAATTTTTTCATAAGTAATAATTGTTGAATTCAAATTTTATTTAACATATCCATTATACCATAGACCAATTTAACACTTTAAATTTCTTCCATATGATAGAATGGTTATTTACTTATAAATAATTTTTTTTTTTTAAATTTTTAAAGCTCAAATTTTTTCATAGTTTTAACTATTTTTTTGTAGTTAAAATAATGTTATCTATTATTGGGGTTTGAAATTTTTTGCCATTTTGTGTACTATTGGTATTTATTAATAGTACACATAAAAAATATTTAAAATATGATGTTTATTTCTTTTGTTGAAATGTTTAGTTTTTAGTATTTGACTGCAGTGTTTATATTGAGTTACAATATTAAATAAATTATAAAAATGTTTAATTTATAGGTTCTATTGCATCTAATAAATGCTTAAAATTAAACTGCACAATATTTTTAAATTGTAGCTAATAAAGTAATAAGCTTTTATATTTTATTATTTGGCTTTAGCTTTTGCACTTAAACAATTTAGTTATTTTAATTATAATGAACACTATTAAAAGTGCTTTTAAAACTTAAATTTGATTTGGCTTTTCCAATTTTATATATTTTTTTTTTTTTGCTTTTGTTAATATATTTTACTAAACATTTTGCAGTTTTAACAGTAGTACTTGGTACCACCACATTATATGTCGGTTGTTTGATAGCTTCTCGAATTTTGCATGATAGCATGCTTAAGAATATAATGCACGCCAAAATGAGCTTCTTTAATATTACACCTAGTGGGCGTATATTAAATAGAGTTGCAAAAGATGTTGACATTATTGATATAACATTGCCTCCGATATTGCTGTCATGGAATAGATGTCTAATCATGGTAAGTATATAGGATAATATCTATTATTGGTCACTAGTACATAATTTAAGTTATAATTTACTTAGTACAACTGAAATGCATTATTCTTGACCAAAATAAAGAGTGAAATTAACTATATTGGTTTTGTTTAAAATTTATTTTTCTATAAAAATAAATTAATTTTTTTCTGTAGATTTAGTTTATGCATATTCTAAAATCTGCCAATTTTGATTTTTGATCGCTTATGCATGGTTAAAATTGTTATTAATATATTTTTCAATTCTATTCTTTAGATAGAAGTGGTGTCTCACTTTTGTCTCATTAATTTGTTGTGTTGAAAGTGGAAGATAACTTCTTTTAAATTAATGCTTAAAGACTTAAAATTTGCTTTATATGTTACATTTTAAATTTCTAAAAGGTTTTGTAAATAGATATAGTTGATGATCAAAATCAAATTGTCTTATCCTTCAAGGTTGATATAATTTAAAGATGGGCCTATTTTTTCATGTCCACACTTAAAATTTAATGTTTGTTTTGATTATAATTGTTAAATATTTAATATACAGTGGTGTGATATCCAATTTTGAATGTACCACTTAATATCTTGGTCAGATAACCTTTGGGGTAGCTAAAGAACTATCAGAATAATATATTTTATGGGAAATGTTCATATTTAAACTTTTTGTTTTGTAAATGTTTTAAACAACTTGTTTAATAATTCTGCATTTAGATAAATATAATTTTTAAAATAATTTTCGTTCTAAAAAATATTTTCTAAAACTAAAATTTACCAAGTTAAAGTCATTTCAAATAAGAATAATAATTATTTTTTTTAAATTTTTCGAATGGTTTAAATTGCTCAAATTCAGTATTTTCTTTATTAACTTACAGTTTAAGTAAGTTTATGACAAAATTTAAAAACTAAAACCTATTTGTTGGGATTGAGATATTTAGTAGTACATTCAAGATTAGACTTAATGTTTATATTACATGTAATATTTATGTCAGTCAATTATTTTTATCCATAGCTTATATTATATCCACGAATATATGGTGTTAAATACATTTATTGATTTTTACTCTGTATAACTTTATAGTTACTTTGAAACAGCTTAAAATTTATGTTGAACATTAATTATTATCCTACTATTACAGAATTGCAAAATTTCAATTAGTTAATTTAATGTTCAATAATACTCAAGTATGAAAAAATAATATTATGGTGTAATAATTTAAAAAAATGCTAAATCAGTTAAAAAGTATTTTTTGATATTTTCTCAATAAATCATTATCTAAAATAATTTTATGTAGAATTTTTTATATTATACTTATGTGTTTCAATTATAATTTTAAATTATAAAAATGAAATAAATTGTTTTAAATCAGCTTAAATATTATGACAATTATTAGTTGTTAGTGAAGGTATAAAACATATTGTGTTAGTACTTTTTATGTAAATTATTTAAAATAACTTATAAATAATATAATATTATTTATTTTTAAAAATATAATGTTAAGTATTTTTCTCAAGATTTATCGGAAGTAATTGTATCTGTATGTTTTATACACAAATCAGATTTTCTAGACTAATATATTGGTTCTAAGTTGTTCTAAATAATCGAAAAGTTATTAAATAGCCATTTATGAAATTTCATAAATTTCATTGTATAGAAGAGTGTTTTAGTGAATAAGACTAATGTTCTTAAGTCACATATTTATTTATAAAGGATGCAAACTTTGATAACAAGAATATATATTATAATAGGTATTATATTTATACAATATTTATAAAGAAACATGTTGGTATATGATATTTAAGTAAAGTTTGAGTGTAGTATGGGTATTAAAATTTGTCTTAATTTACATTCCTCATATATTTGAAAAATATTGTAACAAGATACAAATATTAAATCATTTGTGTGTTGGTATCTCCTTAATATTCATGAAAACTTTTGAATAATTTTTAACTCTAAAAATTTTGTATCATCGAAATACCATATTCTATGGTTTCATGGGTGTTGCTACGTCCCAATAGAAATTATAGATTTTTCTCGATATTTACAGGGTTATTTGAATTTTTGGCTGACCTATGTTTATGTTTGGGCGCATGGAAGGCATCTGTAATATTGCATAATTACATGGCAACAAATGTTTTTCGAAACCCAATGAAACTTTTTGATGCTACTCCAACTGGTCGAATTTTATCTCGTTTCTCGGGAGATGTTGAAGTTGTTGATAAGCTTTCTCAACAGCTTTCTGATACTGTATATTGTTTCATGGATGTATGTGTCATTTTTTGTTATTTTAAATATAATTTTTGCAACAAATTATGATTTATTATTTGCTTTGTAAAAAATGTATAGCTTTGATTTAAAATTAATTTACCTTGATTTATACATTGCTCATGGATAATGCATTTCATAGTAAACTATGTGTTATTAATACTTATTTGCTCAGTATTAATGGTTTGTGGGCTTGCTGTCAAAATAAGTGTTCATAATAACATAATGCTTGAATAATTTTAACAAAATACATTTATAGTTTTTGATAGTAGTCTATTTATAAATGCTAAATATAGTATCTTCTATATTATTTTAATGTTTAGTGATAATAATACTTTATTTATATATAAACATTTAATTTTTATTAATGTTAAATTAATTTAATTTTTGTGTAAAAAATTATGAAATATTAAAACTAAGTGGAGGAAAATTTTGTAAAATTTAATTTATCTTAGAGAAGATTTATTTTTGAAATATAAATAAAAAATTAAAATAAAACTATACATTTAAGAATAATGTCTTCATTTTTTATTTGCTTTGCTTTTATCATATTCCACTAAAATTTAAAATGCTTGTATATAGACTTTATATTTTAACTTCGTAAAATAACTAAAATAACAATAGCTTAAACAATTTGAAAACTAAAAAAAAATATGCTAATTATGTCTTTCTCTTTATAGGTTATTGGTACTTTAGTTGTTATCACTTACAGTACACCTGTGTTTGCAGCTGTGATAGCTCCTATTGGTATTATTTATTATTTTATACAGGTAATTATACTTTTAACTTATGAATATTATTTTTATTTAAATTTCATTTTTATTACAGAGATTTTATGTTGCGACATCACGTCAGCTGAAAAGGCTTGAGTCTGTATCTCGCTCTCCCATTTATTCGCATTTTAGTGAAACAGTTACGGGTGCAACATCGATTCGTGCTTATGGTGCAGAATCCAAATTTATATTTCAGTCTGAACAAAAAGTAGATTTTAATCAAACTTGTTACTATCCAAGTACAGTGGCTAATAGGTATTAATTTTAATTGATATGTGATATAATAGTAAATTAATTGATTTAATTTTATTATAGATGGTTAGCTGTAAGATTAGAAACAATTGGTAATTTTATCATTTTCTTCTCGTCTATGTTCTCAGTATTGGGAAGAGATACATTAAGTCCAGGTATTGTTGGTTTGTCTGTCAGTTATGCTCTACAGGTATAAAATATATTTTATTTTTTTTTTAAAAAGGAAAAGTTTTTTTCTTCTTCAATATTATTTTGTTTTATTAAGATCACGCAAACACTCAATTGGTTGGTTAGAATGACTTCTGAAGTCGAAACTAATATTGTAGCTGTTGAACGTATTAAAGAATATGGAGAAACACCTCAAGTAATATTTTATAAAATATAATTTATTTATTTCATCATAAACATTAATTTATTTTTAATTTTCAGGAAGCACCTTGGGATGTACCATCAAATTTGCCTCCCAAAGAATGGCCAACAAATGGAGAAGTTCAATTTAAAAATCTTAAAGTCCGTTATCGTGAAGGATTAGACTTAGCATTGAAAGGACTAGATATTTTAGTGGAAGGAGGCCAAAAGGTATTTATCAAAATATAAAATACAATAAGACTAGTTTAATTTTGCTACAGCTTGTAAAAAACCTAGGTGGGTATAGTTGGACGAACTGGAGCTGGAAAATCTTCTTTGACTCTTAGTTTGTTCCGTATCGTCGAAGCTGCTGAAGGATCAATTCTTATTGATGGTGTAGATATATCAAATATTGGCTTGCATACATTACGTGGCCGTCTCACAATTATTCCACAGGTAACCATATAAACTTAATTATTGATTGAAATTTAAAAAAATCTAAGCTGTGTATTTATTATTGATAGGATCCAGTATTATTTTCTGGTACATTAAGAATGAATTTAGATCCAACTAATAGTAATACAGATGAGGAGCTATGGAACTCCTTAAAGCTAGCCCATTTAAAAGAATATGTCAAAGGACTAGTAGGTGGTTTGGATTATGAAGTGTCCGAAGGAGGAGATAATCTCAGGTATTTATTATTAATATGATGGTATTTAAAATAAGTTATCTATTTACTTTTAAAGAGCTATATTTACATTATTAATGCGATTTATAAGATGTTTCTGTCAATACCAAAATTATTTTGTTTCATGATTTCAAAAATATAAACATTAATAGTTTTATTTAGATCAACTTGTTTTTTCATATGACGTTTTCGTTGTATATTTATTATTACTATAAAGGTGGTTTCAGCTCAACAAAACAATAAATTCAGTAAATGCATATCTCAATGACAGAAATAACAATTTAACTTTTTTATCTAATAACTTAAAATAAAAAATAAATAAATAAAAAAGTTGCACTACAATTCACAAATTAATTTATCTGTTATATTTTGTGATAAATGTTTGGTAATTTTATTTATTATTAATGCTTACCAAGTAATAAAGATATTCTTTTAACACATTATAATAAATTAATTTATCTATCCTTAATTTCTATGGCATTAGATCATCAATTTATATTTTGGAAATCTATAAAAAAAGAATTGTATTTTGTGTCGTATTTTTTGTTTGTACATACATAATAGTAATGAATTATTTCACCAATTGATAGAAAGTGTAACAAGTTTTGCAAATTTCAGATAGACTCCTAGCCAAAAGTTATAATTATTTCATTTTTAAGTTTTAACAGTAGATGGACTATTTTAACACAAATTGTTGTATTTTAGTGTGGGCCAAAGACAATTAGTGTGTTTGGCTAGAGCATTGTTAAGAAAGACAAAATTATTAGTGTTAGATGAAGCAACAGCAGCAATTGATTTGGAAACAGATGATCTTATACAAACAACCATACGATCAGAATTTAAAGATTGCACAGTACTAACAATTGCTCATCGTCTAAACACAATCATGGATTCTGACAAGTAAGCTACATAATCTTGTACATGATTTATTAGTTAAATTATTAATATTTATTTTCTTCCAAAGGGTAATAGTTTTGGATAATGGTTTTATGGTTGAATATGATTCGCCAGCTAATTTATTGAAAGAAAAATCATCAGTTTTCTACTTGATGGCAAAGGATGCAGGTCTAGTACAATAAAAGTGTTTAATCCATATTATCAATCTCATGTGCCTGTTGCCATTGATTAAGTTTGTTCATTTTGCGGTTAAACAATCATGATTTTATTTTATCATTTCTTTGGCATTTTTTGTCACAGATTGGTAAATAAACTTAAAAATAGTATACCTATAACAGTTAAATTATGTTTTATGAATGATTTTTTTATTTTAATTTTTTGTTTTAATATTAAGCCGTCCGTGTTAAATCAAATACTTGCCATTTGATTAGAGTTTTTCAATGTTAATTTTTTTATTTAAATATAAAAAAAAAATGGCATACTTAATGTTACTGTTAAAAATTGTTCAGTGTATATTTTATTCGGAATAACAGTGATTTTTTGGTATAAACAAACAAATTATTAAATTAAATATATGTTAATGTATATTTTTAAACACTTTGTTCTTTATTTTATTTTTGTTATAAGGAGTTCAATAATATGAGGTATATCTATGAGCACTGTAGGTGCATTGTCTTACATTTTTAATTATTAGTGTATGAAGGTGTTTGCTTAATTTAACTTAGAATTTAAACTGAAATAGAAATATGACTATCATATGAAATTTATAACTATAAGATCTTCGAAAATATTTTGTAGAAATTAGATATTCATCATTTTTAGGTAGTGGAAATAAAAATTATTCTAAAATATTGATGAGTAATGGTAATATTATTTATAGTTTTATTATTAATATTATTACTATGTCATTAGTAATGACTAATGACTGAAAAGTGGTTAACATGATAAAAATCAAAATGTGTTGATGTATAAATGTTAAAAAAATTGAGAGATAAGATATTTTTTAGAAAAAATTAACAACTTAACTGCCATGATATTTCATTTAAACTTGCCTAAATGCCAAGGTACCTACTAATTTCATTTAAAATTCCTGAAACTTGGTACAGCGTTTAAGTAGTTATAAATTAATAGTTTGTTTAAATTACTTTATTATTTATAGATGAGACCCAATTTTGGAATTAATGGCATTATAAAATAATTTTAATATCACTTGTAAATACTTGTAAAATAAGATCAAATATTAGATCTCATTTTTTTTTTTATTCTAAGAATAATAATAAATAATTAGGTAAGTTCCATTAATCAATACTTAATTTTATTGTTCACAACAAAGACAAAAATAATGTACGTGTATATTATATTTAATACATAAAATAACATCTATTCTTAAGTATAAATTTTTTGGCAATAATTAATTTGATCTTATGTATTATTAATAATGTAAAAAAAAAAATGCTTCATTAGCAGTTTCATTTTTTCCAAAAGTATATTATGCTTAGTGATATAGGCTGACTAATCGTATTTTTTTTTTATTGAATCTAAAAAAAGAGCCGCCTACTCTTGATCTCTAGCGTACTCTCATTAACTCGGTGACGATGATGGTTGTTATGTGACCTATTAACTAGTAGTACTAGATGCGGCTTATAACAAGTTACCATCGATGCTGTTACATCTACATGTTACGTTATTTACTACCTATATGTAAATATTACCGTCGCATAGCTTCGATGGAAAACGCACTATAGTGTGTGTTTATCGCCGTTTTATAATAATAATGAGAGATTAACGTAAAATCGTTAATCGATTGAAACATAATATCCGTCCGCTGTTTTCCGGATTAGGTATTTAAATGTATTTAGTTAATACATTATTTTTTTACATAGGCGTGTGATCGATATATTATTTTAATGATTCATATATAGCCTCTAAAATGCTACTTCGAATCGAATACATGAGCAGAATACTTCAAGCTTCAACAGCAATGTTCCAATACATTTTATGGTTACATAATATAACGACTATTATATTTCACGCAAAACACACATTATGACAATGTTATTACCTATTATTGTGTACAACGGATAAAAATAGTTCAGTAAGTTGTATTTTTTTTATAATATTATACTTAATGTAATAATACATATTATTATTATCGTATTGATTCGTACAGCTTATTTAACGGTTATTTTTCGAACCGAGAACAATGACGTTTTTATCATAACGTTCATAACCTTTTAAACTTTTGATATCAGTCGATTTTGCAATCCGAGTTGCAGACGCGCGCGACAGCGCACATCAACGTCGCGTCGTGTCCGATATTATCGTCTGTCGAAAGACGTTTGCCGCGATCTCTCTCACTCCTCGGGATGCTTCAGCACCAAGCCCGGATCAAGAGCTTTGGGGGCCCAGGGGCCAATACATGGTTGTGGGCCCCCGTCAATAAAAACAATTCTTTAAAATTATAAAATTATACAATAAAACAAATTTAAACATTTTTATTTAAGTATGATAACTAAAGAGCAGATTTTTAGGTTCTTAAAAGCTTAAAATATGATGCTAATATGTTCTAAAAAAACCCTAAAATATTCTCTAAATATTCCTTAAACTTGTAAATATGCAGATAATATGATTTGTTTTTTTTTCCAAAATAATTCAATTAAAACAATAAATAACTTATGTACCATTCCTTTTTGGTAACATATAAAATATTTAACTATAAAAAATACAAAACAGTTAATAGGTTTATGAATTCAATGAAATATATTATATAAAAACAAAATAGTTTAATAATAACAATACATAACTTGTATGGTCTTTAGTAACAGCTAAGTTATTTAACTATAAAATATAAATCAGTTCATACTTAGTTACCTACTAAACTATATCACCATCAGTCGTAAATACTGTATCATTTGTTTTATTATACGACTCTATCCACTGTTTATGTAAATATTTTAAACTTTTGTTAATTTTCGGTATTTAAAAAAAATAAAAATGAATATTACAAATTTAACTAAATCGTCAGACATTAAAGTTAAAATAATAAACAATATAAAAGTAAAAATAGATTTATTATTAGAAATCATTCTTATCACGTTATTATAAGATCGTAAGTACAGTCATGAATTAAGAGTAACAGAATGATCATCATTACCAATTTGATTACAAACAAGTACCTAGATAATTGGATGATTTTTAATTTTTATCATTCTTATATAAAATCATTTTTTTTCCTAGACAAAATTGTTGCTGGAAAATATCACAAATCAATAAATTAATAATGTATAATATAATTTTTTATGAAAAATAATCGAATATTATATTCTAAAATATGAAAAATAGGCTAAATATTCTCTAAGTCCAAAATATGCTTTAATATGCTAAATAAATTTTTTCCTACGAACTCTGTGATGAATAAGTCGTCCACATTTTTCATTCTCATAAAGCTGCATAAAACCAATAAAAATATGTAAAACCCTAAAAATCCGCTCTCTAATGATAACGATTGATGAGGATAAAAATATTAAAAAAATATTATATTTTTATTAAAATATATATTTACACATAAAATTAAGTTTTGTTTATGTAAACAGGTTTAGTCGGTAGGTATCTAAATTATGAGTATCCATGACCGAGACAGTCACATAAACAAATTTTCCAAATTCTATTTTTAAATACAGTAATATCAAAATATATGCCTATTCCCAACAAACACAAACATAGCTATGACGCTATGTTTCTCCATTTACCATACTATTGGTGGTAAACACGGTCGACGGGCCCCATCGACTGTTATCAAACAAAAATAAAATGTTTTGTAGGTACTAATGTAGGTACTATAAAGTACAAATTATCACTTAATATAATTTTAAACAGAAAACTAGGAGATACTTAACACATATGGGGACACCCTTATAATCCGGGCATTCAGCACCACCGACAAAGAGTTCGAAAATACGTTTTCGACGATTTCGTATTCCACTCGGTACCTGCAGAAGGAGAGCTTAACGTCTTACCGGGGTTGTCATCGCGTCGAAGGATGTGGCGGTAAAGCGAGTCCTCAAACGATTGATAAGCGCTGTTAGTGCCGGAGAAAAAGGCAGTAGAGTCTGTGGTCCTGACCGACATAGTGTAGGATGTCACGGGTGGCGTGTTTTGACCGGGAACAAATGTCGCCTCGAAGACGGACTGTCTACGATCGTTCAAATTGGCTTTTGTCGTAACATAACCAACGTTTAATGTTACTATGTGAAAGATTCTTTCCGATGACGTTCACTAAGTTTTTCATCATACTTCTATACATTTAAACGTGTTCGATGGAACTATGATTAATAATTGTCTACGTTATTATTGAGTACCTGTTATTTATGTACGAGTATTTATTATTTTCGAAGATTTAGATTGGAATTTTTAGCGCGTTTTATTTTTTGAATTGGCTTTTCAAACTTCAAAGTTCCCTAAACGAACGAATAAATTATAAAATACGTGCTTCTATAGATGTATAAATAATTTATATTATTTTATTATTTTTCAAGGCAGTTATTTGATTTTTAATTTCATTGATATTTACGCTCAACGTTTTACATTCATTTTTAGCCGTTGTGTTGTTTCTGATATTAATGTCTCCAGTTATCCGTTTAAATGGCCTTTTATTTTAATCTTGTATTGTTTGTTAGACGAAAACTTATTACATTTTTTGCGTAAATTCTGGAAAACCTTCGATAATGCCACCCGTATCATTATCGGGTCGTGCCAAAATTCCAAATTCACTAGGAATGGAAATATTCTTTAATATTGCACAATTATATAAATATGATAAAAATAATTTATTACATTAATTTTATTATTGATCTCCATTCGAATATTAAGAAGTTTTTGTTTCGTAGGTACTTGTCAAACTTTGGATAACTGTTTCTGTTTTTCGAATTTCTTCATTTCTATATTATATAATATTGATTTATGAATAATTGAGGTAATATTTTATCTGTTATAAAAAAGTTGCTTTTTATATCGTCATCAATTTTTCTTCCGTAAGCCTGTTTTCTCTCTCATTTTATTAAATTCTTATTTTTTAAGTTTTAGGTCAAATGGTATATTTTTGTTCATTACTTTAAGTCTATTGTATATTTTTTGGCCCGATTTAAGTTTTTCTAAAATTGTTATTTTTAGGATTTTCTATTTCATTGAATATCTGGTCGTATAATTTATGGTCTTATGATGATAATTTATTTACTCATCGTATAATAGGAAATGGTGATTACTGATTAGTGATATTAGGTATTTCCACATAACAGTTTAAGGACTACTCGGATTTGGTCAAGGTATGTTAAACTTTAGAATCATAAAAATATAAAAGTATATAAATGATTTTAATTTTTAAATAAATACCATATTTCTAAATTTTTTAAGTCTACGTAGAATATATTTTGTGTGCATTTTTTAGTATAATTAATTTATTATTTTATTATTACTTATTAAAATTATTATTTCAAAAAAGTTGTGTTGCTATTTTTTACGCTTATTTAAATTGTGTGCTTTTATTTATCACAATATTTTTTTTTAGGTTTTTCTGCAGTAGTTATAACAATTTGTTGGTTCAATAATTGGTGCCGATTGATCAAAGTACGTATTTTTAAGATTTAAGAATCTTAAAGCCTGTTTGATACAACACTTATTGGATGTATTTCAAATAGAGTATCTGAAGACATTGATACCATTGATGTTGAATTGCTATTAATGATAAAATCATTTATACAAATTTCAACTTCGGTATCATATTATGTGTTATACACTTCCTAAATGTTATTGGAATGTTAATAATAATTATTGGTAGTAGGTATAAATAAAAACCACGTAAAAATGTAATCAATATAATAATTAATGGCTGATGAGAATGTGTGTAATGTGTATCGATTAAATTATAAGACGTTATTAGGTGTAAATATCGTATAAATATTTCTCACTCAACTATATAATATGTATGTTAATTTAAGATAATATATAATTCATACTTTAAACATATCTAAATATTTATAAACTACCTATGTCAGAAATTCAATTTAAAACAAATTATATTATATATTATATAGGTATCTGTAGGAATGGAATTATATACATCAGGTACAACATTTGCTCTGTTGGTATAAGTATTAGCTATTATTATTATTATTAAATTTATAACTTTAAGTTATTTACTGAATTATGTTGAAATAAATAAATAATTATTACATTACATTTACGTTTACGAAATATACTCCATATTTATCCTGTGCTTAAAAATAATAATCAACATATTATTATTGTATTACGAGATTTACTTTGACCATCAAAATAATTAACGAGAAATATTATAGTAATACATATTGAATATAGTTATGATATCGGAGTAATAATAAATTTATACTTTTATATAATAATCTTAATATTATAATGTATAGTTATATTATGTGGCATGATATTTAATGAAATATAAATTAATTTAAATCGTATATGTTTAAAAAAATAGAAATCTACAAAAAAGTTATGTTAATTATAATTTTTTGTTCATATGTTATTGGTATTTTTGTTGTTATTAATTACAGTACCTACTATCCGTATTCATAGTGGTGATATATTAGTAATAATAATATTTTTTAAATGTTAACAACTATTCTAAAGCGTAATTAATATTTTTTTATAATTCTTTATAAAGATTTTCTATTGCGGTATTGCGTCAACTAAAAATATGTAAGTCTTCATCTTGTTTTCTAACAATGATTTGCTACAAAACAAATTATCGGTTTTTTATTCAATGGCAAAGGATTCAGGACTAATGCTATAACGAAATTTGGATAATGGTGTAGGACTTAGATTTTTATTTTTTTAATATTATTTTAATGACAATTTATCTCAGTAGACTAATTATTATTCAAGTATTACAAATTATAAATGTTGACTAATAATTTCAAATAGCGTTTGAGCTTAACCCGCATGTTGGATGAGTGGTGGCCATTCGGTTTATATTGATCAATCTCGCGTACCACGTCTGTCTGAAAATTTTCCATTTTTGTTTGTTTTACGATAATTATACAGATTCGTTTTATTATTTCTCTGGTGTTTTCGTTATAAAATTATTACGTAGAGAAAATATTATTATAATTTATTATAAGTGATAGGTACACGAAACAGTCTGTCTTTCTGTACAAGCAATTCGTTTTACTAATTTAATTTTTGTTTATTTTAATTTTCTGTAGTAGCCCGTCCTCATTGCCTGAATAAAATACTCACCACTGTTCATGGTATTGTATAGGTATGTATATTATGTATTAATTTGCTGTTAACTATTTCTTGTATTCGCTGTATAAAAAAGTTTTTTATAGGTATAGGGTACCTATATATTTTATAACAATATAACATGTGTTCAGCATAACATGGGTTCAGTATAACATATAACGACTGATATTTTTCTATCGTAAAATAAAATATAAATAATATATTATCATATTTTGTTTGGGTACATAAATTAAATACTATTTTTTTGAACAAAAAATTGTGCTAAAATTTTTTTTGTTATATTATTAATATTAAAATGATGTATGCTATTGTGTGCTCGATACTTGGTCATCGCATACAGTTCCGTTTGGTGTTGATCAGCTGAATGGCCTGTCGGACCTCGGTGGCTGCCGCTGATTGCTGATCGCAGTCCATAAACGGCAACCATCTCAACCACGAGTACGCGCAGTATCCGTCTGTGTTTTCGCGGCTTGTCGGCAGGTCCTTGACCGCATACTCGACGGCTGCCTTACGCGCGTCCTCCTGAACTTTTGGCGACTCCAGGGCTTTGGCTAGTAATTCCTTGTTGTTACCCGAACGGCCCTCCAGGCCGGCCACGTTGTACAGCAGATCTGCCGGAAATCCTTTAGCGTTGGCCTGCACTAGCGCGTCACCCAAGTTGCTGACGCCGATCACCACCTGTGGGTTGAATCAACAAACGGAAAATACATTCAATGGCATGTTTAGAAAAAAAATATTTTCAGTGACATGTGATGTGACGGTTTGAGAGTACCACCACTAGGTTGGATTGGGATATGTAGCAGCGATAAACAGGGATTTAGATGCAGACACTGATAACATTATGATAAAAGTTCTCGAGGAATTTAAACAAAATCGCTGATAAAATTATTGCAGTACATAGGTACGTCATGTTAGTCGCAACGTCCGGTAGACATAATAAATATTTGGCAGTTAGATTTAATGGTATCGATCGCAATAAACTACTTTTTACATTACATAATAAGACATATTATTATCAGTTATTACTTTCAAAATACACCAATAAGTCAGATTTTATACGAAGTTTAAGAAAAGATTTTTTAATAACCGAAACAAAGTTCTTGATGGATTATTATTTCGTATTCTTAATATTGTTCATTATACGTAATATTCATTTCGGGGTTTCCGCCTTTCCTGATGAGTTAAAACAGCGAAGAACTGTTCATGAAGTACTTCGGAGAGTTAAAATATTTTTCGCATACCCCTAACCCCCACGGGCAAATATTCAAGTGAATATTATAAGTTTATTTGAAGAGTTTAAGCGCCCACACGCGTAAACAACAGCGGTTGTAGACATTTAACTTATTATTAAAATAATAACAGTAATGTATTATATATTATGTATTAAACTCGAGCGATTGAATTTTAATGTTTCACAAACACTGTCATTTGTCGACGATATCGCGATACACTGTAATAATAATAATATTTGTGTTTTCTCAGCTGGAGTTTAGGAAACGTGTTTTTTTTTGTTTAAACGATAATTCGGCACTTTCATGTGCAGATATTCAAATACTTCAATTGTATGAGAACGCATAAATTACAAACAATTAATTTATTCACTACTAATATCGCATTAATTATTTGATAATTATTGTAATGTTGTTTTAATATTACAAATAAATTGTTAAATATCCCTAGTAATAAAGGTCTCTATTTGGAACGGGTTTCATGTGCAATGATTTATAATTTAAGGTAAATTTCAACATACCCACCCATTACAGTGACGTGGTGGGTTATACATTAAAAATCTACGATACAGCTGAGTTTCCAGATTTTTCGATTTTTCTGAATACTATTTTGTCTATGTATACGTTTTTTCAGGCGTCGTTCATATTTATAGTTGTTTTGGGACTATCTTCTACCATGTCTCAAGGAAAAAAAATATAGGCAAATTATTATAATTTTTTTTGGTGACTTGTCAGTTGACAGTGTGTGAGTGTAATCTTGAAATTGTATGTCCTGTATTAAATAATGGTTATTTTTTATCAACGCACTTCCGTATACGCAGGTGCAACTGTTAATGGATATTATGGTTTCTATTTTCAAATCACTTAAAAGATATAAATTATGATATCGCTTGACAAAACTGCAGGACCAAGGTTGGATGGATGTTGATTCATTATTAAATTTACTATGTTTTAATCAAAGCAATTTTCAATTTTCAAAAACTGATTACCTTATATTACAGTAATTAAGATAAAAAAATAAAAATAAATATTTCCGTCCATTGATACTTCTGCTGAAAATATTAGTGTTAAAAATCGTTTGGATTAAAACACATTAAACTTGTATAGTATGAATCAAAATCCATTTTTAAAATTAAAATCTGTCAGATCAGTCTTGCAGTTTTGTCAGGTGATTAATAACACTTTTTATATAGTGACTGTGGATGGGTATACGATAAAATCGATCACCCCTTATCGTGATAATTGTTGTAATATTAGTATGTTATCAATAAGAAATAAAGAATGAATTATTACATGATATTATATTATTGTGTCTTAAAAAATTGAATAATGATTAAGATCGAGAAATAAATATAAAATCGTCAAAGTTTGAATAAATACTAAGTAGCCGATAAGTACGTTCGAAGAAGATAATTTAATCACATAATTCATCTATCGCGGTCAGGTGATGTCGGTGTTGTGTGAAAATATGTATACATTAATACATATATAATAAGAAATGATAATTTAAAAAATAATAGCGAAATCGAGGAAAGGTGCTGCACGAGCATAAAAATAAGCGGAAATCCGTAATTTTATTAATTTGTTTACTCTCTTCTTGTCGTTTAAACCGGTTTCGTGGCATGAATGGCACGAGTGTTTTTTACGTAGTTATCGAATTTTTACATTATATTTTTTTTTTTTTAACGGGGCTGTTCATGCGACTTTCTACAAATATTTATAGGAATTGTCAACCAACACTTGTAAATACGGGCGCGTATTAACCGACTTGTTTCGTAAAATTCACGTTCACGAATCACGATTAACGAGATCTTCAATAAAAACAAAATAATAAATCTACTAATTATGCTTACCACTGTGCACTGAGAAAAGTACTTTACCACGTAATTCGTCTGATGGTTGTGAGTATATCTAAATAATGATTTTGACAATTCTTGGACTATATTAGGTATGAATATAACGTGTGTCACGTGATTATACTTTTTCAAGAATAATTTTTCTTTCTGTTGTCAGGATTGATAATATGAAAAATCGTTAAAAAATGTTATATTTCCGTACTGTCCGGAAATACAAAAACTCGTGAGGGGGCGGGTGGTGTAAATTTCAGATAACAGAGAAAAACGTTCTACGATAATGTGTATTACCCGTAATATATTGTAATTATATGTATGTCTGTATGTGCTACTTGAGTGCAACAGTAATTTTGAGGAATCAAAATTTTTGGAGAAGTAATCCCGATAATTTTTCCCCACAAAATTTGAAGCACCTCTTGCGGTCACAACCGTGTCGCGACGTTAAATTTTAGAAAAAAAATATGATATCGAATCGTGTCAGCTGGAACGGCAAACACACGTGCTAAACAAATATATCGTACAACGTCCGGAGATATCTCCAAAGAACGATACCATAATATTGGACAGTGATTAAATAGTATGATCGCATTTTCAGTCTACAGGCGCATTCGTAGAAATAGGTGTGTAGGTACTAGGTAGTAAGTTATCGGTGGCCATTAGACTGAGGAAACAGCACCTGTGCAAAAGTCCTTGAAGAATATTTACTCTAAAAATTATAATGTTTGAAATGTTCAAAATACGGTTCAATACTCGTTCGTATTTACCACATTTACTCGTTTTTAACCGTTTTGAACTGAACAAATATTTTGAATCGAAACCCATCATAAGCTAATATTATAATATTATTTGAACGATGCCGTAACCAAATGGTTCGGAACAGTCGTAACTTTTGCGAACGTTTGATGGTAACTCGTCCGTTTATAATGGCGGGAGGGAGTGGCAGGAAAGATTCTGTTGGGAATATGGTAGTTCCGTAAGTGTTTGATTTTGGGAAAATCGCCTCAGAAACGATTCGTATATCGCGCGTTCTCGCGGGCGTGTCTAATATGCTTTATACGCCCGCTTTCCCATAAAAAATATACGTATACATTCCTCGGGCCTATCGACATTATATTTTGTCATTCGGAAGTTCCGGCGGCGGCAGCGGTGTAAATATAACGTAAAATGCGCGACATCACACGAGTGTTATCGCCGCGGTGTGTATAATAATGGCTGTGGGTGAGTTGCGGCCCGACGTGTCGTTTCCGGTGTTGGAGTCCGGTGAATCGTGGCCCGATAATATTTTAGGTATAAGTTGGTTGCGACCCGACAATATTTTAGCTACAGGTGAGTTCCGGCCCTAGTTATTATCATTACCTATATTGGATATACGTACATGGCGATAAACGAATAACGGTAAATGAAATAACGTTCGATACCTACGTGTGGGAAGTTATATTTTTATGTAATATGATATCTCAGATTTTTAAGAGTAGACGTAGAGCAGTGACCTGTGCGACCTTTACTTGTGAACAAGTCCGTCTTCGCGTTGTTGCCGCAGACTAGGCTTCATTACTTTCGTCGTGCCATGTCCGTACGGTCGCGTTAAAAACATCATATTATTGATCGGTTTCTTGTGCTGTACGATCGTACTCGTGCTCAAGTCGTAGGAGCCTCGTGACTAAACATACATTTACGTGTTTTTATTACACTTCTAATTTGATTTTATTGCGAGTGTATATGTAATGTATTATATTCGTACGCAATTCGTACGTACCTCTCATAAACCCGGGTCGCAACTCGTACGTTATTTAGGGATTTGGCCGCAATTCACTTACACCGATATAATTATTATTTCCCGCCGCATTGCCCTACACCGCGGAGTGGCTTCAGGTACGCCTACGACCAAGTATAACCGTCATTACCGCAACCAACGAAACCGGTGCGCGGCGTGAACCCAAGATTTCGACGCGGCTCTACACGCGTAATACTTTAATCACCGTTCGGCCGGGTCCGACTCCCCCCGGCCCGGATGTACCGGACGAGTGTGTATTATTATTGTCCCGCCGACGCCACGATTTTTGGGGATTTTTTTTTCGAATCTACGCGTATCCATGGCGGAACGAGAGGAGCGGTGGGTAAAACGTGCTCGCGACGGGGGGGGGGGGGTGTGCAGGTATTTTTGTCCCTTATTCGTTCATTTTAGACCTTAAAAACCATTCCATTCCGTACCGTGGCGCGCAGGTATATTGTTATTGTCATCGTTTGTCTTCGCAACAGTGCGCGTAATAATATTATCTATATAACGTGCACGTTCACCGTGCAGTCACCCCCCCCGGCCGTGCGTATGTATGTTTTATGTAATACAATAATATAACGTACAGTCACGCGGGAGGAATGCTGCACGTGCGTGCATGTATATATTATTATGTAGGTCGGTTTATTTACCTCGAAAGCCTCTTTTACCCCAGGGGCATCGCACAAGGTTTCGGGGGTACTTTTGTCGTTGCTCACGCTGAACACGCGTCGATATATTATTTTACTTTAGACGAGTAGGCCGGGTTACGTTTTTATCCGTCTATAAACGTTCTGCAGACTAAACTAAATAACCGTGGGT